TGGGATTCAGAACTTAGGTTCTTTCGATTTATGACTGACTGATGCTGTGAAATCAGTTGTTTCTGGCTGCAAATCATGAAATCAGCACCGAGTTGGCCATAAAAAATGAAGGTTTTATGGTAAGTGGTTTAAGAAAAATGCAGAATATGAGTCCTTTGCGATGTATATGTTTTATGGCAGCAATTCCATATTTTTAATTTTTTTGAAAAAAAATTCTCCTTTGCTATGGTAGGAAAACATCTTGAAGTTGCTTCAATGAAAATAGCTATGTATATAGAATAACATATAATGACTCTGTCAGACTTATTCTTCCACTTACTGAGGCATAAATCTAGAATGATGATATTTTTTCCCTGCAGAATTAGATTTTATTAAAATAGTTACTTTGTATCCCATCCAGCCATGAGTCAAAGCAATGGGATCCTACATAAATGAAATTTGTTGATCCTAGTGCAAGCTAGGAAAGAATCAATTTCAATTTCCTTTGGATGTACTATTAGTGTTTATCTGATGGTGAATCCCTGTTGTTTTTAAGTGATAGCATACCAACAACAAAAACTGATTATATACCATGAAGCAGAAAGAATGTTCTGTTATCCTTTTCCTATATAAAAGTTTTTTTTTTCTGTATCATGACTTTTAGTTTATCATTCTCAATGTTAAGTCCCTCAAAAAATTAAATAAATGTATTTTCCCCATGCCGTCCATTATCAGATGAAGATTGAATAGTTCATAAGGACTTACATGACTTTAGCTAATGAAAGTATGTGTTTCACAGAACAGGTCTAGATTCCTGGAGTTAAAAAGACAGTTCCTTTGGATAATTAGTGTTCTCTCTTTAAGGGTCCATGATTTCAATCTGTGTCCAATTAGACAGCAACATGTCCATTTTGGCATCACAAGAAGCAGAACCCCAAGTCTGTTGCGAAGGACTAATTACAAGGGATTCTGAGGTCATTGTTCATTGCCTAACAGTGAGTGTTAGGAGAAAGACTCACATCTGCCAAAATTTGGGGGTCAAACTGGTCATTGCTAGAGCAGTTTAGAAAGCTAGATTGCTTAGATAAGGTCACTATTTAGAATTTGTGTAATGCATAGTCACTTGTGATCAGGCTAGTCATAAGTAGAGTACTTTGTTCTTCGTTCTTCGTATATATATGTTTTTATTATGTAACAGAAAATCTAAACTACTGAATTTTATATTAGTCATTCTTACCTTATGTGCATACTTTTTAAAATGAAAATGTTCAGCTCTGTTTCCTGAGAGTGTATGGACATTACTTACTCCATGCTGTATGCTCCCGGATTGGTCTGGAAGTCCAGATAAACATCAGTCTGTTTCTGGCACTCATCCATTTCTGATCATACGAAATGATTTGTGAATGTAAACCTATTCGAATTTGGAAAAGCACACAGAGGAGAAGTTTCCTGGAGTTTTAGGTTAAGTGTTTTCTCTCTTAGAGAAAAGATGCGTTTTCTTCTGGACATTATCAGGTATGGTTTCAAGGCTTAGGACCACTGCAACTCTTCAGTTATTACCCTGAAGATGACGCTCACACATGGCAACAGCAGAGAATTTCAGGAATAGAGAACTGGAGCAATTAGATAGAATGTATTGTCAAAGTCCACCTTCTCTTTGTATTTCCAATTCTGTGAGCCTATCAAAATCCTTATTCTTTATACCATGCTGATTCTTACCCTTAGGCAAATCACCCTCACTTTACACGCTGTGGAAGCTGGCATAGAATGATGTTTCCCTGAGTTCTGAATTCACTCTGATTACCCAGCTGACTCACAGTGGCCCAGGAGTGTGGCCTCTGGCAAATCCACAAAAACAATTCTCCCACCAACCACATGAGGGTGCATTGCTCTTCTTGGGGAAACTATCCTACCCAGTCTTTGCTCTGCTTCCCCAGCCTCTTCCCTTCCCTTCATCTCCCACACAATCCTGATGGGGGGGCAGGAATGAGTGGTTGACTCAGAAGTAAGCTGGGCTGAGCAGATATTCTGTCCTGTGAAACTGATAGAGAAATTATTTCTTGTCAGAGAACACTGTAACTGGAAGATTGGATGGATTACAAACCTGCAGTGGTCATTTGTTTGTTTCATAGACTTAACACCAAACAAAGAAAGCTGGTCAGTGGAAGCAAAGTAGGAAAGGGACAGACACACCAAGAGAAACACCCCAGGAAGACTGGTGTTCACTGCTTGGTTCAGGGGCACAGCCCTAACTTCCTGCCCTTGAGTTAACATCCTCCTCCTTCCTTCGATGGCTGTGAAGGGCTTCTGTTTCCTGTGACCAAAGAACCCTGGCTAGACGAGAAGGGGCCATTCTTACTTTGATTTAGAGATGATACCACAGTAGATGAAAAATGTTACCCAAAGCTGATTTGTACCAACATGAGATTCATTCTAGATTTCCTGACTTGATAACCTATCTGCTTTCCATCTCACTGGCTGATGAAGTGACCAAGAAAGACCAATTCATCTATGTTATTCCTAAAACATTTTGTGACCACTGCCCATCATATATCAGAGAAAATAGGGTTCCTGTTCAGCCACTTTGTAACATCCTTGACAAAAATTGAATGGATTACAAGCTGCCAGATTACAAACTCAGTAGTAAACTTGGTAACAACTACTACAGGTGTGTTTGCTTAAATAGTGATACACAGGAGAACATTCTCTAAATTATCGAAGAATTTACAGCCTTAGTGTTTGGACAATTATTAGTTATCTTTAAATAAAATCTGTAGATGTGTGCAGCAGGCACTCCTACATCAAGTTGCCCCCGTGAGAAGCAACTCTGAAAATCAGCAGTACTCCTGAGAGTATAGGCTGCTATTAATTTCAGTCTCAGACTCATTTGGAGCCACTGCTTATTCTCTTTATCATGGCATTTTAATACTTGTGGCATGTATCTTTTGACCGAGAGAATTCTAGATCTCCCATTTTAGCTCAGTGCTGCTGCTCTAGAGGATAACTGTATTTCATTTTTGAAGGGACCCCACTCAAACACAGACTCACCAAGCTTCTAAATTAATTTTAGCATATGACACATAGCCTCCAAATTTAATAAAAATCCACTTAGCCATTATCTGTGATATGACAGACAGACTGAAACTTAATTATATTGACATGGATTTAAGCTAATGCTATCATATTTTGCTAGAAAAGGCATCTCTTTAGGAGCGATTACAATTAAGAATCATGTCTGGGAAATGCAGCCATCGAGAAATATCTGTGCAACCAAATGCATCCACACCTTCAGGATGCCCAATTGGTCAGGGATTGAATGTTGTCCTCATTCACCCACATTAAACCCAACTAGACCCTGGGTTAATAGCCTTGCAGAAGTGTCTCACTGCATGTTAAAACAAGAAAAGGCTCTTACTATTAAATATTAATATTAAAGAAGGCTATATCTAGTCCTTTTGGTGTTTAAAGGTGCTATAGAAATGATAAATACAACCTTTGTTGTATAGTGTCACTACCTGCACTAAGTGAATTTTAGAAAATTTCCTCTATATCTGGACCCAAATAAAGGATATGAAAAGTCCCATTATGTCTTAAAGGGAATGTCATGTATAGAGAGGAAGCATGAAAGTGAAGGCACTAGTTTTCTGCATCACCTTACCCACCCCCCCAATTCTCTCTCTTTGGGCTTCCAAGGAAAATGCTTTAGTCAATATTGCACTGACCTATATTCCACCATAATTTGTAATCTTCTTCTGAAAAGGGTTCTTTTTTCCCTCATGTCTCTCACAGTAAAGAAGCGGCGATCAGGTCATTTTGAAACTTGGGTTGATGCATTTGAAAGCAGCTTACCTGATTGAGTCAAATGGAGAAGATTACCATAGGCAATGGCTCACACAAGAGGGTAAGGGATGGATGAGAAGGCTACTGGCTAGAGGAGCAGGGCTGAGTATCTGAACCAGAACAGGAAGAAGTAACAGGAATGAAAGAGAAGGACCCAGTGATAGGCACTTTTATGAGGTTAAGGAAAATGGGAAAATGGTTAATAAAATATTTCCTCCAATCCAAGGGTTGGCAATCTTTGTTTATTTTTTGTTTATTTGGGTTTTGTTTTGTTTTGTTTTGTTTTGTTTTTTCTGTAAAGGGCCAGATAGCAAATTATTTTGACTTTTTGAAGCAGACAGACTGTGCCACAACTAATCAAATCTTCCATCAAGCAGCCATAGGCAATAATATATAAAAGTAAAAGTTTATGTACAGAAAATAAAAAGGTGCTACCTGATATGGCCAAAGGCCATCCAGACACTTGTCCATAAAATATGTTGTTAAAAATAAGACACAGGGTTAGCTGCTATTTGGTATGTGTGGTTCCAAGTCCAGCTCTTGGGTTTGTTAAAATTCAGAATGCATTGAGATTCTAAAGATTTTGTAATCTCCCTTTTAAGTTTAGTGATATTTTTTTCATTTCTCATTTGTGCCATTGTTATTTCAATAATGTTTCAAGTGTCTAAATCTGCACATAGGAAAACAAAACTATTTGTTACAAAGAGTTAGCATATTTCTCTTATAAAAGAGGCATTTCAATAATTAATCCCCAAAATAATTCAATTCTGTGTAAGCAGAGAATCTAACACTATACTAAACATTCTTGGAGATGTTTCAAAAGATTGGGGATGATATCGCTGTGGTCATTACTGCAAGTGCTAGTAACACAGGGGACCCCAGCCGAAGCCAAGTGTGTGACTGTGGCCAACAGATGCATTAGACATGGCAGCAGGTTACTGCTGGTTTGTTTGTACTAGTTGGAGAGGTCTTGGGTTGTAGGAAGCAGAGACTCATCCACGTTAACTCAATAATTGGAGGACTTATAAGGAGATTGGGATCCCCACCATTTATCTGAGGCTCATGGAAACAGAGAAGGAGCCCTGACTATCTCAGGAGAGAACTTGAACCACAATCCTGTGCGGACTATTGGTCATCCCTTCTATCGTAGAGTTGAACTTCAATTCAAATTAGTCTCTTTTGTACTTACTTGGCAGGGAGGTACCATGATCATGAAGGTTTTCCCACTGCGAGGCTTATCCACTGCACCCTGGATGTGCTGACCCCTGCGATTTCCCCAAAATGTGGGAAATTCAGCTGCATAATTTGTGGTAATGGGGGACTGCATTCCCGCTCTCCCCTGATTAAAAACCAAAACCAAACCAAAACAAAACAAAAACTAAACTAGTCACTTCCAGTATCTGCCACTGCTGTTATTGCTACTTAACAAACTTTTTCTATATCCTGCTTTCAAATTCTCAAGAAAGTTGATATCAGTGGTCAAATCAGTGGTGGACGGCAGCGTGGAGGTGGATGCCACTTCCACATAGTCACACTGCTGGTCATTCACACATTACTATGTCTTCTCAGCCTTAGCATCTTGTAACCCTCTCTATTGTATCTGCAAATGGGAACCCACCCACTCATACAGCTACACCCAATTGCAAGGGATGCTGAAAGGGATCTTCAGAAGGAAAGGGATCTTCCCTTTTTTTGCAGGCGGAAAGAATGGCTTAGGTGAGTGCATGTCAATCGCCATAAACAACAGAAAAACAAGCCTATAGGCTATTGTCTCTGTTTGCACAGGTTCCCCTCAACTTGCATTTATGTGTTTGTCAAAGAGCCTTAGCATCACTAGAAATGAAATAGAGTTTACCTGGGCTCATTCCTGAAGAAGAAAAAGTTTTCACTAATCGGAGATAAAGAATCTAAAATGGGGCCTCCCCTGGTGGCGCAGCGGTTGAGCGCTGGGCTGCGAAGCTGCCCGCAACCTCTGCAGAACCATTTCGATCCCTGGGCTGCTGGCAAGGGTCCCACATGGCGCGCAGACCTCTCCTGCCACACCCGCTGCTCCCCTCAGCAGTGTATTTTGTCCGTCTGCCTGTTCTGTTCCCTGCTCTGGCTCTGGTGAATTCTCTCACCCTCCCGCACTTCTGACTGTACCCAGTGCTTGTATAAATAAATAAATCTTTAAAAAAAAAAAAAAAGGATCTAAAACGATAGGACTCTACTCACTATTAAATGTAAGTTAGCACATATTTGCTAAATTTCCAGAATGTATCACTACACTAAGAAAAGGAACTGTATTTGAACCTCTGTTTTAAGACGGACTGCAGGGATAGATGGAAACACACGATTGGCTTTTATGTCACCTCAATCTTATCAACAACTAAAATTGCCTTTGATTTCCAAGGATCCCATCCCACCCCATTGTGAGTCCATGCAGCCGGATGCTTGGACCAAGATCATGAGATGTGAGTTCTGAATAAGTATTTTGCAAGTCAGTCAAAAGAATTAATATCCTGTTGGCCAATCAAGAGCTTGCAGATTCAACCCAGCCCTGCTATTTCCAGCCTGGTGACCTTGGATATGTAACTTCATGTCTGCATCTCTGTTGGGAAGTTGAGAGTGATTATTTAAAAGATCATTTTAGAGAAACCTTAAGTTTATGTTCTCTTAGTGTCAGTGCTAGATGACACTAGTGAGAGAGGTACCCTTGTTCTTTTTGTTGCTGCAATTAACTCTAATATAAGCCTGGCAGTCACAATGGAAGATTACTCAGGGGTAAAGTGAGACTAGACTTTGCCCATGGTAGACAAGTCCAGTGCTGGGCAAGATCTTGAATAGCGCTTTGACTCTGAGATTCTAAGGGTGTGTGTGGATTTATCATAAAGAGGAATTCTCATAACGATTATGGGACTGGGAATTGGGAATGAAGAAAAGTCTTGTGAAGATTCTAGATCTTGGGCAAAATTATGGTGGTTCAGTTGGTCTTGTAACTGGTCTTCTCCCTAGGAGCCTGTTCTGGGTCCAGCTTATCTCCCTAACTTGACACTTCTTTTTTCTTTGGCTACTTTCTCAGCAGCCTCTTTATCCTATCTCTTGGTGTGGGTATTTTGCAAGGATGTACCGCACCTGATAAACACATCCTCATCCAGAGAAGAGCTGGGGGAACCCCTCCGTGGCCCCACCAGTGTTCCTGGGGTATAATAGTGCCTTCTCACAGGAGATATCTGGAAATTAACTTCCTTTCTTAATTTTGTGACCTCGGGTTTAGTTTTACTTAAGATCCTTTGAGGCCCCAGATCAAGGGATAATGACCACTTGTCAGGCAAGCAGTGGGGCCTGACAATGGTTTGAGCAGTCAACACGCTATCGCCACTTCCTCCACAGAAATCTCCCATTCTATCGTTGTAAAGAGCTGGCCTTGACAGGGAGTTGCTAGTTTCCTGGGACTCGATATAAGAAATAGCATTACAAGGTATTAATTGGAAGCCCTTGAGTCTTGATAAGCATTTGTTACAGACTGCTGGGCCTGCTTATTATGAAATTGGGGAAGATACTGAGCAGGGGAAGCATAGAAGATGTTTTACAGGCAGATGTGGAAGAGACTTTGTAGAAACTATGGAGTAAGAGTCCCCTGACTAATGGTGGCTCACTCAGGATAAATTCAGGCACTCCCGTGAGGCCTAAGCACTTAAGAAATAAGTACATGAAATAGTTCCTGACAAGTCACTTGGCTTAGCTTAAGAAAATGAGCCACCTGATTTATGAAACAAGTCCAGGGACTGAGATATGGGTTTAGGAGCACTTCACTCTGAAAGAGAAATAGATGGAATGGGAGAAAGGAACTCAGTCATCAGAGTAAGTAAAACTAGCCTCTGAAGTCACAAGATATCAAACAGTAGAAAAATCCAAAATCACCGGGCCTCCCCTGGTGGCACAGCGGTTGAGCGCTGGGCTGCAAAGCTGCCCGCAGCCTCTGCAGCACCGGTTCCATCCCCGGCTGCCGGCAAGGATCCCACCTGGCGTGCAGACCTCTCCTGCCTCACCCACTGCTACCCTCAACAGTGTATTTCCTTGGTCCGCCTGTTCTGCTCCCCGCTCTAGCTCTGGTGAATTCTCTCACCCTCCCGTGCTTCTGACTGTACCCAGTGCTTGCATAAATAAATAAATAAATCTTTAAAAAAAAAATCCAAAATCACCTCTAAGACCCACTGTAAGGAATGCGTCCCTCAGCAATGTAGCCCAGCAATTAGTACCGGCCACCTAGTGGCAGAAGAGGGAACAGCATGCCAATTTGTGGATCCTATATTCCTGAGAGGCTTTAATAAAGTCCTTATTCACAATAAAAGCTAATTGTTACAAAAATATATGAATAAGAGAGTGATTAATATATTTCACATCAGGATAAGATTTTTAGCATGGTATCAATATAATTCTGCATTCAAAAATTCAGTTATCTCAGCCTCATAACTATAAGCATATGATCTTCAATCTATAATGATAGTTGGAGATTACAGTTATGACACTATCTTTAAAATACCTACTCTGCATACACTCTGATATCCTGCTTTTGATATAATCTGAAAAGATTACTGTTATGCTGGACAAATGGTCAGTGTGCTGAAAATAACTTTTGGCCAGCATTTGAGACGTGGGTGACCATCCAGTTTAGTTGTACAAAAACTGAGTGATTGTCAGCAAGTCATTTATTTATTATGTGAGGGTGTAGTACATGTGTAGTATGTGGGTATATGCATATATTTCTGAAATTAAAGCAATTGTGGGAATTCCTACATACCTCTCATCAAGTATTGAGGGGACCAAGGAGTAAGCATTTATTGAATATCCTTAGTGAACTATGTTCTTGTCTATCCCAGTGAAAGATATAAGAGAATGATGGACAAAGCCCCAAAATGGGAACTGTCTGACATGCAAGAGACAATAATGAACAATAGAAGTCACCAAATGGCCTTCGCTTTAGGATGTCTTGGAGAATGCATAAAGTGACATAAATCCAAACTGGATTTGAGAATGTGTGTGCTGTCGTTGCCAATACTTAGCATATCCCCAGAAGCACTGTAGATGATATTTTCCACTTAAATAGCTTACCAGTAATTTCTGTCTTCGGCCATCTGCATAGATATGTTCCCCTAATGCAACTCTTCTCACCACATTGCTTGTTCAACTTGTCTCTTGACTGGGGTCCCACACAAGTCACCCAATCTCTCTAGCCCAACAAGCCACTCAAATATATTCTTATTCACTTCACGTCTGATCCTTGTTCTTTTTTCCTGCCGGCATCACGTCATTGTAATATCCCATATAATATCCCAAGTCTTCCTTTTTTTTTTTTTTTTTTTCGCTCATCATTAATACAATGTCCCTGGCCCTGCACTGTAATATATAGATGTAAATGCTGGAGGATCTCATGTGGGAATGAGTGGTGAGGAAGGGCTTTCTGGAGTTGCTGAAGTTTGCCCTGGGCCTTTAGAAGTATCTGACTGTTCAGGGGGATCACTCTGTAACACACAGAGACAATGGGTAAGTTTTCTGAAGGAGCCTCAGGGTGGTATATTCAGGAACTTGTCCTTTGTTTCAAATGCCAATAAAGAGAGAATTCTGAGGCTGAGAGGCATTTTATGAGCTAGACCTGTCCAGGAATATCCACTCCACTCCTCCATAACCCTTTTTGTTCAAGTGACATGGTTGGAAAAGCAGGGAAAACAGCAAAGAAAAGCGGGTTGTTAGTTTAGGCAGGTGAAGGGACTCTGATTTGGCCATAGGCAAATTCCATGAAGGGAAATCAGGTGGTGTCAGGTGCTCTTAAGGAAAACCTGTATATTTATCTCCATTTATCTCACTACCCCTATTCACTTCAGTTACATACTGTAAAATGCCCATTTATTTTATCCAATTTTCCCTCATATTTAAAGACCATTTCTAAAGTAAACCAATTCTTATATTCATACTTAAAAAAATTAGAAATCTTTTCCTTTGAAAATATGACTGATTTTATACATTTTCTTAAATGGGAGTACTTCTAATGCACTACAGCATTTGTTTACCCAATGAGTGAGAAAATTGAGGGATATAGGTTAAATGAAAGCTTGATCAAAAAAGTTTTAGTTCCTTTGAAAATCATAGACAGAGTTATTAAAAGCAGGGAGGAGAGTGGTTGCTAGAGGTACAGATATTCTCTTAATTTAAGGCATTTAGAAGCACTTCTATTAATAAAATAAGATTCATCTATACAGACCTAGATACTAGATTTATATAGACAGATCTAAATGTAAATATATATATATATATATATATATATATAATAAGGTAAGAGTCATTTATATAGACCTGTAACTC